GAGCGCCCCTGTGGTCGGCCTGTGGGTGTGGAGGCAGACGGTCACATTCCCGCCAGCCCATGGACAGAAGCATCCTGCACCGCTCCCTCAGTTTCTTTCCAGCTCCCAATCAGCAATGTCCCGGCAAAAGCAGTCCTGGCCAAATCACAGAAGTTACAGAATGTGACCAACAAGCCAATAATCACAGTTCAACTCCATATCTGTTACCCACTGCAAGATAAGACCCAATCAATCCAGCAGTTCCTATCATGTTTTTACAGAGTCACTGTCTTCTCTGCAGCTGTAAGGGCAGCAAAAGACTACACACACACACACACACACACACGCACACCAGCCCCTCAATTTCTAAATTTGCTGAGTGCAATATTTAAGTGAATAGTTTGCTCTGCAGAGATGCGATGAGAGATAAAATATTTGCTTTACCTTGGAAACCACAATATCTTTTAAGCTGTTGAATCTTAAACCTAGATCAAATTTGACCAGCTTAGGTGTGTTATGTGCACACACCGTCTGCCAATGTAGCAGCAATCTAAACCATCTCTCCCGTTTCATAAGAAGCACCTGTGTTTGGAGACTTAACATTCCACATACTTATCTGACCAAAAAAAGGCCTTTTGTGCATAGCACACATGTACTGAATAAACTGTACTGGACCATGAAGGTACACATTCGCCAGAGGGGTTATAATAATGTGTCAACTGGCCATTGATGTGCACCTACTCCTAGAAGCAATTCAACTGCATGTAAGAAAACATGTTTACTGAAAATGCGAGACAGCACAAATGAACCGCTTCGTGTGATTTTCTGTATCATGTAATCATCACCTGTAGTTGCGGTGTGCTGGAAAATGTGGCTTTCCACTCACTGTTGCAATTTTTCTACATAGTTTGCTTGTTGTGACAACTGCAAACTCTAAACGACGAGCCTCAGGCATCGAGGACTGCTGGAAACACAACTCCAGACTCTCTCCCCCTCCCTCTTTTCCCCGTCTTCCTCTGCACAGACAGACAGAAACACCATATATACACACACCCACATATACATGCATGCACGCACTCCAGTCACTGTTTGACCTGTTAGGGGGATTCAAACAAACATCCGCTGCCCCTTAAAACCACAGTCTGGATTTATTTGTCTGTTCTCCTGAGGAATGGTCGCTTAAGAAAACATAAAGTTAAGGCCTGTTAAGGCGTCCCCGGCTGTTGACTTGCATGTGACTGAACCTACCTGCTCATTCTTAGTCCGGACCCTTAGCGCAACTAATCAATGGGTGGACTGTTGACCTCTCCCCTGAGTCGTAACTCGAGCTCAAGAGGCCACAATAAAGCTAGCAGGGGAACGCTAGCAAGGTGGTGTCCTTTGAGGAGTGATAGTCTCAAAATGGAAGGTTTGAATGGAAGAGCAGGAGGAGGGCTCGGCTTTACTGAAAGCCACAAGGGCCCACGTTGGTCACATTAATCACAGCTGGGATTGTGGCTCTATTTTTAGCCGGGAGTCATCCATCTATTTGTCTAATTGTCCCTGCCTGCCTGTCCACTGTCCTGGCTTCTCCCTCAAAGGCCCCAAAAGGAAAAGAGAAAAAGAAAAAGACGCTGAAATCTGGATGACTTCTGTCTGTGTTTTCTTCCTTCACTCTCACTCTGTCTATACTTTGCAACACAGGCACAGGTGTTCATCACTAATGATACCAGGATATTATTAGTCCCAGCCCTGTGTAGGAGTGTAGGGGATCTAAGTTTGCATAGTGTTCAGTCCCTGTTGGGTTGTTTTTAAAGCCTGCAGAACAAGGCCCCTCTGTGGTGCTGCTCATGTCCAAGTGTTTAAACTTGCAAGAAAGACCCCTTCTCCCCCCCGTATTCAGGGATTTTTTTCACAGCCTGAGACTTTTTTTTCACTCACATTATTGCCGCTGTAAAGCACACCAACACAATGCTCTCCCACTTAGTCTCCCGCTTTTTCACAAACACACACAGGGACGAGCGCACACACACCCCACTCAATCATCCGCACACAAACACACAAATGCAGACGCGCATGCCCCCCGCCCTCCCTCTCATCCACAGTGTATATAAAAGCTGTATCGAATTGCACCTTGAGCTTAATTGGCTCGGCAGTACAGTGCGCTGCTGTCGACAGTGACAAATCGTTCTTTCAGAGCCCCAAATAATGTCTGCCCACTGCCATGTCAGAGGACACAGGAGGAGAAAAAAAGTTAATTGTCCCCTGGCCTCTGTTCAAAAGATGTCGTAACTGCAAAGAAATTCATAGGAGATGCCGTTTGGAGCTTTGGAGGTTTATTTATTTGCCTCCTTCTTCTGTTTAAGATGGTGCCTGGCAGCATAGAGCCCTGTGGGCACTAGGGACTTGAAAGGAAGGGCCCCGTTCTCTGTGTTTCTACTCAGGGAGAGCGAGCTAAAGCTTTAGTCGGACTCCTGACTGCTCCCTCTGATCACACAGTGGTTCAGATCATCCACTTCCTCCCACTGGATCACTCCCACTAGGGAGAACAGTACACAGATCAGATGAGACAGCTAATTCAGTTTGGAGCTATCTGTTATTTTAGGAGCTCATATGCGACAGTGTGCGTGTGTGTGTGTGTGTGTGTGTGTGTGTGTGTGTGTGTGTGTGATGTGTGTGTGTGTGAGAGAGAAAGTGAGTGTATATGTACACGGCCACCAAGACTGTATGTGGGAGAGGTATGTCAGAAATGCACCAATGTGTGTGTGTGTGTATGTGTGTGTTTGTGTCTGGAGAGGTGCTCTGCATCTGGCTTGACAGGGGACAGCTCAGCTCATAGTTGGCGTTCCTAACCATAGAGCTGCTTTATTACTGATATCCTCCTGCCCTCTCTCATAACTCAGCCTTCTTATTTCAGTCTCCCTCACAGCTTTCTGCCAGACAAAGCAGCACCGAATATGTCACACACACACACACACACACACACACACACACACACACACACACACGTACACTCACACAGGGAGGAAGAGCTCTGCTCAGCGTCAGTAGGAGAACAGCTGTGGATGCAGAGAAGTAAGACAGCAGTAAGTGAGAGCAGAGCAGCAGGTGACCATAAAGTCACTGCAGCGAACAGAACAGATGGAGGAGAAGGGAGGAAAACAGTCAGTGACTGAGGAGTAATGTAGGATTCACATGGAAAACTAAACTTTTATTTATCTAACCAATGCTTTCTGTGCTCTTATTCAGCAAACCCTCTGCCACATTGTGAAAAACACTGAGGACGCCTGGGAGTTTCCCAGTCAAAACCACAGTCTACTGTTAAATGAACAGCGTCATTGGAGCAAATGAGTTAAGTGCCTTGCTTGAGGGCATCTTTACTGTAGTTGTGGTGGCAGAGGTGAAAGTTAAGGATGATAGGCTGCTCGCTGTGGACAGTATCACCGGTGGTGAGGAGCCCACACCGGTGTAATTTTCTCCACACTGTCCCTGAAGTAATTTAACTATTTTCTCAAAGTCCCAGAGAACCTCACCGGAGACATTCAACACCACGTATGATTAATGACACAGTGGAAACAAAAGTGTTATCCACAACAATAAATAATAGCTGCATGTATGAGGCATTGAATTCAATGTCTCCTGACAGTACTGCAGCAGGACTTTGGAGTCGGTATTAAGCCAACTTCTCTGTAAACATCAAGTTTTTGTTTTATGTATAAAGGACATTTGTAAGGGTTATATTAAATCAACAGAGTATAGACTCAGACGTTGAACCATTTAATCAGATCTAATTTATATATTATAGGTAGAGCTTTAGTTTTATTTTCTACATAGAACAGTACAACAAATTTAGTTTGCTGTTTGGTATAAAGAACAAAAAGCTGGGTTGTTTTCCAAATACTATAATAAAATATACATATAAAAAAGAAATGCAGTAGCTAAATGCTCAACCAGTTTTACAAGCAGAAACTTTAAGGTTCTCTTAAAGAGAAAAAAATAGAAAAAACAAGAATAAAGGAAAAAAATGTGAATTACTGCAAAGACCTTTATTTAGAAAGGTTTGTTAATGCTTCACTGTTTTGGAAAAATACACTTATTTGCTTTTTTGCTAAGAGTTAGATGAGAAGATTTACACTTTCATGTCTGTAAGCTCACTATGGAGCCAGTCAGTATTCTCCTCCAGCACTATTTCTTTAAAATGCGAAACATTTAAAACCCTCACAAGGTTTTCATCAGAGCAAAAATAATAAAAAGAAAATATATAACCTAGCTTGTCACATTTGGAATCACAGTGCCTGTCGCTGCTATTTTGGACTCATGATCCTGGTCATATTTGTCCCTGGAGTATCCCTACTCAAGACTATAAATCCCTCCCTCCCTCCCTCCCTGGTGCCTAACATGTACTATAGCTAGAATGATCCATCAAGTCAAAAGAAAAAATGTCCCTTTCCCCACTTTGAATTTAAAAACGGATTCAGGGATTCAAACTGGCAACATCCTGTCACAAGCTGCGAATATGTACAAATCTAACTACTGTACATTATGTGGAATTTTATCTATTTTGGGACTAATTTAATAAAACAAGTTTCCTTTTTCAAACAATGAAGTATATATTCTACCAAGAGAAGACACACATCTGTCCAAATGGTTGTGTTTCAGATTTGGAGACATAACCTCATACAGCCCTCTGTGGTTTTTATTTTTTGTTTTTTTTGCTTTCAGCATCTCACCACTTAACTCCACATTTCAACACTCACTCTCAGTAAAATATGTGTCTGTGTCATTCAGCATGTGTCTACAACAATAACATGCGACATCTGGTTATATGTGGAACTTGCCTTTCTCGTTCTCCCAACGTAACATTGTTTTTACAGCTGTGTAAGACATCATACAGAACGAGGACAGACATACCACACATGTTTTTCAGCTTTTGTGACAGTGTTTGTTCTAATTGCCTCCATCCTTCTTCCTGCCTCTCCCATATTTTTCATTCTTTACCTCCTTTTGCTATCTCCCGCCGTCTCCGCCTGTCTCCCTCTCAGACCTGGCTGATAACCTGGCAATGGACGACTTCACCTTCCAGGAGCAGCTGCTGACCCCTCGCTTGGCCACAGCTGGGGTCGGAGGCGTCTCCTCACCTGCGGCTCCACTGTGGAGGAGCTACCTGGTGCCGACGCTTCCTGTGACGCTTGTTCTGCTCCTGCTTTGCCGCCACTGACCAGTGCAATCACACACTCCCATCACTTCTTTCCCCTAGGATTCAATACAAACTCTGTGGAACGGGACAAACTTTTTTTAAAGTTCTGGTTCCTAATGTAAAGTTCAAAGGAAGCATGAACAACAAAAATGCTACATTTCTCTTTGTATGTCTCAGAATGAAGCTGTTTTATTTTAGTCAAAATCACTGGATGTTCTCAACAAACATTAAAGCACACCAGATAAACCCATGGCATTGTGTAAATAAGAAACTGCCCTCGTTGTTCACTCCCACTATGGTTATTACAACTTTTTGTGCCCTCTTGCCTGACCTCCTCTCTGCTCTCATACTGACTTCTGTATAATAACAAAGTGACTGGGGCCCTCATCACTAGACAACTTTGTCATGGACCTGCAAGTGAGGAACGACACGGAGAACAGAAACACAACAGACCTTTTTAAAATGCTCCCAGTCTGCAAAACGTTATTGCCCTGCAGAAACAAGCTGGAATGCAGAAGAAAACTTTTACTACTCTCCTCCATGGCATTGAATGATCTCCTGCCAGGACTGGACTTCAGCTGGCAAGTTGTTGTGAACTCCTTATCGCCGGAGGCTGAGGTTAAACCCTTATTTAAAGATGCACTGTACCTTAAATGCTCTGATTCTACTTCAATCTTCCTCTCTCTCTTTCTCTCTCTCTCTCTCTCTCTCTCTCTCTCTCTCTCTCTCTCTCTCTCTCTCTCTCATTGTTTGTGTCCTAGTAATAGCTAAATTATTTCTGACTGATTCACACCCGCACTGTCAGTGTTTCCTTTATTTTGTAACGCTGATGATTTTTTTAACAGTAACAGCCCTACGATAAAAGAAAAAGATTCAAGGGCTATCATGAGTCTCCAAATCAGCCTGATGACTGTACAGATGTATGTTTCTCTGTGTCGGTGCCATGTTTACAAAAATATGTTTATTTGAAATATTGGCATATTTCACAAGAAAATGTGGTTATTGGCTGGACTGTGAAGAATTGCTGCAAGCTCTGTGGGTAAAGCGAAGAGTAACGTGAGATATAAATATGTATAAAAATGTGTGTAAATTAATTTTGTAATGTTGGTTTGCATTGGGGTCACACATTCTTGAAGTCTTAAAGTCTTCGTATTTAATTTGTTCTTCTAGGTTTTGTTTAAACCAGAAGTCAGATTCTCAATTGTTGTTTGATTTTGTTTGGTTTTTAAAAAGAAATGTGGTGAAAACTGGTTTCCATCTTCTTTGTTTAGACGGGAGGTCGTGTGATGGATGTTTGGAAACGGCACTAATTAAAAGTTGAAAGTGTATCTACTGCTGCCACCCAGCTGACTTCACAGCTGTGAGCCAGACTATCCATCCATCCATTCACCATTAGATATACCGGATTATACTTGAGGGTCACGGGACGTTGGAGCCAATCCCAGCTGACACTGGGTGAGAGGCGAGGTACACAGAGACAGACAACCATTGCATTCACACCTACGGGCAATTTAGAGTCACTAATTAAGCAAAGCTGCATGTCTTTGGACTACTGGAGGATACCAGAGCATCCAAAGAAAACCCAAACCAGGCATGGGGAAAACATTAAGACTCCACACACAAAGTCCCCAGTTGACCAACAGGTACTAGACTGTCCACACAGGTGTAACTAATAACAATAATGATGGCTCTGTTCCATTTAGGTGTGCCAATGAGTAATGTAAGGGAGCCAGCATGCAGAGCACTAGGAGCCTGACACTGCAACACCTAAACATAATGCAGCCCTAATAAACGTTATTAGTTGGACCAGCGTTTGTCATGATAAACATCTGTTGTGACCCCTCAAACAGCCAGTGTCAGACCTGGGATTAGATGTTTATAAAAATGAGTGCACTGTAATATGTTAATTTATTTCATTTTTCAGTTAAATGTTGATGAGGAAAGTACAATGTATAATAAACGGAACATGTTTTACTGTTTTGAGTTTTTTTGATGTGTGAATATCAACATATGAAATGTCCTTATTGTTTTGTAACAGTCATAAAACTTATGATTGGAAACCTTTTTCTGATATAAGTTTATATTCAAAATTCATTCCACTGGATGTTGCACAGGCATCTTAGACAAAAATAATGAGAAAGAAATAAAACAGAACTCACCAAAACTGACTTTGTTAGTCTTTCCACAGTCTTTCCAACAATAACCAATGCTGGTTTAGTCTAAATAAACCCATGATTCACCAAGTCAGATGCAAAAATGTTCGTAAAGAGCTGTAATGGCCATAAACTAACGTAAATCCTCAGGGACAAAAGCACCCGTCAAAGTACATCCTCTAAAAGTGCTTGTTATGGCCACCGACAGGCTCAGATTTTTATTCTAAGTGTTTGGAAACATTAAAGAAAGGATCCCCACAGAGATAGATCTTTTGTTTAACCATGAAACAGCTGTAGACACCAGACTTCATAGAAAAAATGGTAATTTTACCTCACATATCATTGTAATATCATAACTTTCTTCAAAGTCGACAGAAACCGATTCAAATTCACCAAAACAGTATTTGTTAGTCATCCAACTGTTCCAGCAATCACAAACTCTGCTTTGGTTGAAATAAATCCTTAATTCACTGACATAGAGGAGAAAAACAGCAGGTTTCAGTCGATCTACTCAGCTGCACACGGAGCAGACCGACTATGCAGACAAACCACAGAGAGGCTGCGATAGCAACACAGGCAAATGTTGTTTGCTGCTATATTAATGTTCAAATCTCATATATAACCTTTAGATTTATATTGACTACCACTCAAGCTCTGCATTAAAACCCCTGAAAACCTGGTTTCAAATCTTAATATCTTAAAATGAATCTTAATATTAAAGACAGTCAATACTATATTATCCATGACTAAATAAGCAACAATCAGAGGTTAGAAGAGACGACACAAAAACCCTGTTAATCTGCAGAACTGTGCAGAAGTCAATAGTGTGACAAAATACCTTTTTCACAACAGCTAATTTGACATAAACTAGTAGGGTAAACATAGGTGTTAGTATATCAATTCAGGCTCCATTCAATTCAGATCAAACAGAGTCAGGGTGTTGCTATCCTCCATGTAGGGTCACTGGAAGTGTCATTGTTAACCAGAACTGTTGGTTATGGTTGCTAACTTTGGCCAACATATGTGTCTTGATGACCTAGAGAGAAGAAACTGACTGAAGAAATATGTTTTCAGGACCTTTAAAGAAAAGATTCACCTCCAACCATCTTACCAGTTAATCTATTATACCAATAGGTCGTAGGTTCAAGTCTGTTCTTCACACCTGACTACACTGACAATTACACAAGGGTGTGGTCAGGTGTGGTCTGCTGTTCTGTGATCACACCCAACCTTGATGTCGCATTGCACACTGTATTGATGCTAAATGGCAGCACAGGCGGGATTTTCAGCCTGAGCCTGACAAAGTAACTTGCAGTGCCTTCTGGACTCCTTTCAGTTGTTTGTTTTTCTCTTGCATAACAGGACAAATACGTAAGATGTTAGGTCATATCAAAAACATTTTTCCATTGCAGCAACACAGAGATATCAGAAACAACTTTAATCATCTAACACATCACCAGGAAATGTCAGGTTTTGGTGTCAGTTCCTCAGAATCAAAGACCGGTGGATTCTTCCTAGACTTTGCACAGCTTTCAACAATCAGGGAGTTATCCATTGCACAAACAACAGATGCCAGTGTGTACACCAACAGCAGCCACAGTAGACCAAACTGAAATGCAGCATGTTTTGGGTAAGGGGAACGACTTCTGCTTCTTCTCAAGTGGAAAAAATACTCTCATTTTATTATGCTGTCTCTTCTCTCTCCTCATACATATAACCCACAGTTACAGTAACTCCCATTAAGTTTCGGTTCCACCAGTTTTCACTTCTCAGTGTGTTTTTCGGTATTCAGTTGTCAGTTTCTCTTGTCTTTTTTTTCTCTGGGGGTTTCTGGCTGAATTCTGTGATAACAGGACAGTAAAATTTGAACACCCCATAAATTTAAACAAGATAAAAACAACAATTATTGCAACTACAGTTCCCATGAGTCTTCCCCATAGGCATGCTATCAATAATTCATGGGAAGTGTCGTTGCTAACAAAATATTTATCTCTGTTTCAGTAAAATAGAAATTCCTGCTCAAGAACATCCCCATTAAAGTATGCAGTTTTTATGTGATTATCAAATATTTCAAATTATTTATGACAAGTGCTGTAGGGATGATATATTTGTGTAGGCCAACAAGGAACTTCACATTTTTCCACTGGATTTCTGATTAGTGCAGGAAATACACTGTGGTGAACAAAGGTTTATGATACTTACATATTTTGTTCATCCAGATAATACACAAATAAACAGCACTTTTATGATACTTGAAGCGTAAGTGTGATCGCTAGAAATACAAATGTTTACAGCCTTAAACGCTAAATGCTAACGTTTAAGGCGACGAAACCCTACGACCAACCAATGAACTATACCATGATTACATGACTTCAGTGTCACCATCACTAATCTACCTTGTAATTAAAATCTACACGTTGGAAAGTTTGAGCTGAGTACAAACACAACGAGGCTGTTAAGGCGAACTACTGAATAGATATGTCTCTGTGTTTGACGTTTAATGTCCTCTGGTCTCATTTAGCTGCTTGTTAGCAACTGGCTTTTTAAAGACATATAAAAGGTTCAAGATTCACAGATGGGTATTTTATGTTGTAGAAGAAAATTTGAAAATCTCTTAAGCTTGTGTTAACTACAGACCTTATTTCAGGCAAAAACCCATAAAAAAACAAAAACAAAACTGACTTTGAGACAAGGGAACTGGAAGTGCTAAAACAACTTTTGTATCTTCTTTTAATGTCCCGTGACCCTAGAGGATAATTTGGTATAGCTAATGGTGAATGGATGCATGGATAGTGTGGTTCACAGCTGTGAAGTCAGCTGGGTGGCAGCAGCAGATACATTTTCAGGTTTTAATGAGTTTCTTTGCAGTCTAAACAAAGGAGATGGAAACCAATAACTGCTAAATAACTAACTCAGTTCCACGTTTTAAGGCTTATTCCTGCAGCACTCTGTTGGCTTTAGTTTGTAGACTAATGAGACAACCCACCCCCACCCCGTGAAAATTCATGCGGTCTATGTGATGCCTTTAGCCTATTCATTGTCTATCCGGTTTAACAATTCAGATAGGTCTGATGCTGTGCCCATTGACTGCTGCTTCAACCACTTAGAGAAACAATTGACCAATCAGAGTTTAGATGTTTGCTCCATTCATGCAAAATGGCGAAGTGTGGATGAGATTGATACAACTGTACACGCACACTTTTTGCACTACATTCCCCCATCCTGCTGTGTCAACTTTAAGAAATAAGAACTTTTAAGTGGACATATTTTTGATTAGTGTGAAAAATGTTTAATTAAATGCTCCCAGCGACCTCCTCCGAAGCTGAAAACGACGTTAGCAGGATGGATACATCACTTGCTACTGACTGGGGCAAAACTAAACAAAATAGCCCCCATCCTAACATATAATTGGGTAACACGAATGACAGTGTGTTCGTCTTACCCAGTTTCTTGTTGAGATTGGGGTTGAATGAATTCATTTTTATTTTTTTTTATTTTCAGGCTAGTTTAACATGAGAGTACAGACAGAAAACAGCAGTATTGTGTTTAAGCTTAGCTAGACCATATTTTAGAAAATACTTTAAAATGATTGGAATAGAAACTAGCTTATAAGCCAGCTTTGACTACATTATGCAGCAAGTCCTCTGGGGTCGAAAGTCATTGTAGGAAATGTATGAGGTTATTAACTGAGGTAACAGTGGATAAGGGAGGTTGTTAGGAAAAGCAGATAAACTGAAAACATAAAGTGAGAGATCACAAAATAACTAAAACATCTCGAACGTCACATTTTTAGGTATTCAGGGGAAGAATTTTCCTTTACATACAAGGAAAAATAAGAGAGAGAAAATGGATGGCATGCTGCAGAGGTTACGAATAGGACACACAATGTTACAAGTATATATGTTACTTTATGTGCGTTTCACCCTCTGATCCACTTCAAAGCCCTTCATGAATCATATAATTTATGTTTCTCTGGACTGTGCCGGCTGCTCGCTGAGTCCTCAAAGCAGCATGTGAATCATGTGTGTTTTTCTTTGGATCTGTTTTTCTCACTCCCAGCAGATGATGAACCATTCTGGGCATAAGATCTCCTCTCTGCCCGTCTCTGTGGGGCTTCTCTCCATTGAACCCCATTAGTTTTCTCCTTGGAGCCACCTTATCCAGGTAACAGACGCTCATCCACAGCTCAACAATGAAACAAGGTTCATTAGTCCTAATTGTTTGTGTTTTGTCTCCATTTTTAAAGCCTGTCTACTTTCTTAACAAGGCCAATCACTCACAGCTCCACACATAACACGCCTGACACTACAAACACACTTCAAAATCCTGTCTCTGTGTCCCGGCGCTCTGCTGTAACTTTTCACACCCACGCACCCTCTGCTTCCCAGATCCAGATAAAAACGCCATTGTTATCCAGCTGTGCTTTTCTCTCCTGAACTGGATTGCAGCTTTTAAGATGGAAAAGAGAGGCTGATTATTAGGAGATGAGCAAACGCTGGCTGTAGAGAGAGCAGCAACTCACCCAGGGTGGGGTGTGGAGGGGGGGGTTATACTCTGAATGCTAATGCGGGGCTGGAGAAAGGGCAAACAGGCCTATTGAGATGCAGAGTTCACGTGTTTTCTTAGGGTAATATTGGGGCAATGTTGAAACAGCACGCATTATGAGAGTGAAAGGTCAATTTGATGTTAGTCAGCAGGAACAGTGAGAATAGCTGACTATCAGGAATTGTTGCATTTTCTGCCTGAGTGATTGACTCCCTATGAATATGTATTTCAGCACTGTTTTCATGGCCACACAAAGATGTTGGGTCTTGGGTACCTTTGCGAGCCCGAGGGGTCATCAAACTGAGCATATGAATTAAAATAACAATACAATTCAGGTGCTTGAGTGTGTATGGACTCCCCAAGTCCAGTCCAATTTTTACCAAGCTGGATGTTGAAATTCCTCTGCCAGAGAGAAAAGCCTGAGACATGTCACGTCGTTCAAAGCTCATTCATGTCTAATTACCATGGCACTGGACCATTTTCTTACCTTTTGTTGGCCTATTGAGAGGAGCGCCGGGCCCACGCTCTCTCATGCACACAGCTCCAGCATCCTCCTCCTGCTCCTCAGCAACCCCTGGCTTCCCCTGCAGCAGCCGCAGTCACACAGAATGAATGGAGCCGCCTCAGGAATGTGGACACAAAAGGAGGAATGTCATTTTGCCGAGTGCTACCCCCCAAACCAATGGACGTTTGCACACACACACACACACACACACACACACACACACACACACACACACACAGAAGCACCCCACAAGTCCAGGCATGTTTAAACGCAGGGGGTAAAAAGTCTTATTATGACTTCTTTTTTAATTAAGGGATTTGAGAACGTGACTGGGTGCAGCGTTTGATCAAATTCTATATCCCATATTTGAAACTTTGCCTGAAGAAAGTGTCTAAATCTCACTGCGATGTGGTTGATTATGATGATTTAAAAAGCCGACAGTTAAGTTTTTACATTTTATTGATTTAACTGATCGGCCTTATCAGTGAAAAATAAACTTAAATCGTCTTTTCCAGGAAAAAACTACTTGCAAGGAGGGCAAAGGTCAGAGGCAGAAAGCAGCATGACAGCAGATACAACAAACTGCGCCTGAGAATAGACAAAAGAAAACACTGGTGCAAAAATATGAGGGAAATATGAGCGAAGGGGACAAGAAATGTTCTTAGCAAGTAGAGGACGAACGAGGATGTGGAGGATTTTAAGTATCTGTTGAACAGATGACATTTTGAAAAGTATTTCCAAATGTGAACACCCACATTTCAGGACACATGCAGATACACACTTGAAATTATTCAACCTTGTTGTGTCAAACAGAGGTTTTTAAGCAATTTGTGGATTATTTGAAACCACAGTAACAAGATACTTACATGCTTTAAAAAAAACAACAACAAATGTATTTCTTAGTGATCACTACTGTGTTTCTGTGGGGGGGGGTTCTCAAGCCTCCAGCAATCTAAAACAATTTTTTGACAGTTTCACAAATCTCCCCACACTGTTTGTAATCTCCATCCACTTGTAAAACTCCACCATGCTTCCAGCAGACTGTTTACTGTAGTTTACAACACTGGCCGCATTATATGACAGGCAGCTGCATATTAGAAACACAACTGCCCCGTTGCTAACAGCACACCAGCCTGACCTGTGTTTGTGTAAGGAAATGGCCTGTAATTTTGACTCCATGGTTACTGTAACACTAGGCAGCTTTTAATCCGAGAGTTTTAAACAAACTAAGATGTATTGGATTATAAAGGCGGAACTGAAATAACACATTTGGGGAAAAATATGTCTTTGATGTCATGTGCTTTTCTTGTTATGTAAATCGCTGTCATGAAAAATATATGGAAAACAAATAATGCCATAACATAATGACATTTATTTCTGTATTTCTCATCGCTGACAATCTTCAATTACAAAATGAAGTTCTTCAACATGGGGGTTTGAGGCTCCAAAGGGTCCTCAGGGTGTTTCCAAAGAGGGTCCACAGATAAAACAAGAGAAAACACTTCATCATCACTGATTTATCTAACTTATTTTATGTTAGGACAGAGGAAAAAACATACGGGAAATCTATTTAGTTCAAAGGATTTTTTATCAGCGGTGTTATCTGCACTCTGACAGTAAAAACAGATAAGAAACCCCCCGACCCCACCCCCCTGAAACCCAGGGTCAAAAAGGGGGTCTTCAAGTGAAAGAGATTTGTGATTTTAAGAACTTATCTTAATGTTTCTTTTCCTTCTGTCATCTGGACCAATAATAAAGTATTCATGTTATGCCACAGTGCAAGCTCCACCCTGAGCTCCACTCCTGATTTTCAACCATCAGTATAGACATTATATACAGAGAGAGAGAGAGAGAGAGAGAGAGAGAGAGAGAGGGTTTGAAGTCCCTGCTCCATGCTCCACCCCTGGTGTTCCTGTTTTCCAGGTCTTTGTCCCCGGAACTTGCACTCGCTCCTGGGTGTCCACTAGGGTTTTCTGCTCGCATCTGGATCCCAGTACGACGAGCATACAGTCCAGTGTCCTGTCCTACAGAAACCACGGCCTCCTCCAATTTGGAAAAGAAAGCAAGAAAAAGAAAGGAAGAAAGTAGAAGAAGAAGAAGAAGAATAAAAAGAAAACACCATCCCGGCAACTTTTCTACCGTCTCTCCTCCCGTGATTTTATACTTTTCGTCGAAGCTGTGAAGCTGAGATTCTTGCCTGCAGTTAAAAGTTTTTCACGCGTTTTTAAACCAGTTTTTCTGTCGCTCCTTCGCGGAGTTTTTCCTCCCAAATTGAGTCTGGAACTCGACATTTATCCCACAGAGCTTTTAAACGGACGTCGTTTGAGCAGTGTTTGAGGCTTTTTGTGGGGGGCTTTTTTTTTTTTTTACCTCCCTCAAAAAGTTGTTTCAGAGGTGGCCTCAGAGCTGCTGTGAATGAAGTATCTGTTGAGCTGAAGAAATCAGCGCGTCTCTCCATGAGGAAACTCAGCGTGGGAGTCGCTGAAACTTTGTCCTAACTTATACGCACACCTGAAGCGGTTATATACACCTTTTTTTTTTGTATCTTTTTTTTGTGCTGTGTAGTAGTTTGTTTGTAACGAAAATGAAGACGCTGTTGGTGCTGTGTGTAGTTTGCACGCTGGTTGTGTTTTCTGTTTCGGGGACTGCGGAGCAAAAGTTGAAAAACTGCAACGAAGTCCGCGTTGCTTACAGCTCCAAAGGCTTCAACATGAACGATGTCCCCAACAAAGGAGTCAACGGTGAGTTTTCTTTATGCATTTTTGTTCTTTTTTTTAGGGCCTGTGTTTTTTAAAACTCCAAATTGTGGTGCCCAAAGTGGGGGCCGGGGACCCCCCGTGGGTCCTGGAGAGATGTCCCGGTGGTCCTAAGGGGAATGAGAACTTTTTAACATAGCAACGTTAGCATAATGTGAGCCTGGGTAAGTAAAGTTAGTAAAAGTCTGCTCTCAGGGTTTTTTTTTTTTGCTGTCCCATTGTTAGCTTCTCTAACACAGACTGCCAGCTATTTTAAGCCATAACTCACTTTAAAATGTTTTCCAGGTGGTTTTCTTGAAGACAAAATCTTCTCAAATGTAGTAACGTTTAGCAGTCACTGACATGAAAGAGTACAGAAGACCTCGCAACAAACAGAAAAACTGTCACCTTCTTAAATGGCCATTTTGTACCTCTGTTAAAGACTTTGTGGAAACATGGTTAATCATACAGACATGGTGCTTTTCAGGGCTGCACGATATGGTACAAACATTATTGCAATTAGTTTGACAGATATTGTGATATGATTCAGGATTAGTTTGGGAATTCATCATTTTTTCTTCGCAAATTCAATTTTCAGTGAAAAAAACTATTAAAATCATGGTGATGTGACATTTTTGGGGCTTTATATCAAACAAACTTAAATCTGGAGAACAAGATTTGTTGGCCAAGTACTTCATTATAATGTTGTTCTGTCACATGTTTAACTTTTACCCCCAAAATGCAACTTTTTTTGCAGTGTCCATATTGCACTTGGCAATATTTCCATTAACTCTGCAGCCCTGGTGCTTTTGTACATTGTTAAGTTTGGGGAAACATTTGGGGATGAATTCTTGAGGCAAATGTGTTGCTGGCAACACTCCACAGCTGCAGTGGATAAATATAGTCCTCATTTAGGAAATACTTGTAGGTAATTCATAACAATAAGGAGGTATAATCAACACACAAGCTGTGCTCCCAGCTGAAAGAAGCCAGGCCTGTGTTTATTTCCAGGCTTCCTTAGTAGAGACTCCTATTGCTGTGAAGTGCAGGCAGCCTGCAGTGATTCAGTAAACACTCCTGTGCTTTGTGAACAAGACTGGATTTTTTCCCCCCCTCTCTTTGGGTAAGTCTGATTTTGTGGTTTTAACATTTTCTCTGTGGGCACATGTTGTACTTCTACTTCTACATCTGCCTCTAGTCTAGTCTGTGAGGCAGGATGTAATGCACCAGTGAGTACCTCTCTGCAATAGATGAGAGTGGCTATGTTAATAGTCAGACAGAGGTGAGAAGGCAAATCAATTTAGCTAATCATGAGTTAAACCCAAGTGATGGAAACTTACATAGGGGGGCTTTTACAGTGAAGGCTTGAGGGGGAGCAAGAGAAAGGGGGTTGGGGTTTGAAATTCCACTGTGCCCTGCATACTTTAAATCCCTCCCATCTCTCATTTCCTTTTCATTTTATGGTGGTTAAAATGAATATGCACACACATATATTCAAACCCCTAAATTCAGTCCACTTTGGCTGGCAGTTTTGCAGTGGCTCCAGCATGACGTTCTTGTTTAAAATGATAGAAGTAGGTCATCCAGGCATGACCCGCTGTCATGTTGGGGTCTTGTTTTCCTCCTTTTTTTTTTCTCCTTTGAAAAGTCATTTCCTGATGTGTGTTTATCTCAGTGGGCTTAATAATTAGCTTTTGTCTTTTCTCCCCCCTATTTTCTCACCATAAACCTTTCAGGCTCCAACTGTTCAGATTTAGCAGCATGTTACCAGCATTATTTCATCTGACAAGGGTGACCAATTTGTATGCGTCCTCGTTATTGTACCGATGTCCTTTTTATGAGTATACTTTGCATGGTAGGAGGATGTTCAGACTGTCTTTTTCCGTAGAGGCCACAACGGCTCATTAGAATTTGAGTCGGACGTAACTGTCAATGAAGGAGAGGACTTATTTTTTCCTGCGTCTCACACAAGTCTATAGGTCCTTTTGTTTTCTGCCTGTATGTCTTTGTGATGCTAAATGTCATTGAGAGTACCCCAACATGTCTGCATTGGTTGGATTTAATTGTCTTGCATCTTTGGGTTTTGAAAGAGGGGTCTGAATGAAGGCAGTTTTATTGTGCAGGTTTGTGTGCTATACACACGTGCCTTTTTCCTTACAATAGATTCCTGGTGTATGTCTGGGCCTTAGGCAGGGCCGACCTCAATGAGCAGCTCTTTGTCATTGAAAGAGACTGAGATAATTGATCCATAGAAAGCAACAAGGTCTACTGTCATTAAAGAGAGTTGGGGGGTCTCCAGAAAGCAAAAAGCAGATACAGAAGCCCCGCGCTCTTGAAATGTTTCATGTTGCTGGGGAGAAATGGCTCCAGATGTGCAGTCTGATTGAACTTCAGTCATGTTTGTCAGAGCTTCACTTTGTAACTACACTTTTTAATGGGTCAAACTCCAAACATTAATTCCCTCCTTATGATAACAGTCTGTGTTAAAATTCGACTGGATGTGAGGTTGCAGAAGGGTTAGACCATTAATTACCCACATATGTAAATCACAGTTTTAGTTTCACAGTTAATAATCAAAGAAGCAGTTCAGTGGAAAAGGTTGTTTCACTTACAACATCTGCAGAAGTTTAAACAGTCAGCATATGATTCAAAAGTTGCTGTAAAATAATTTTCTTCCACAAAAGACTGGCGGTTGTGATCAGAATATTTCTACCAAAATAATGGGCTTTTTTTTTACTTTAACCATAACTGTACAGGCTTATGTTACAGAGAAGACATACTTTGAAAATTATACAGTGACTTTGCCAGTTGTCACAGAAGTAGTTTTTGAAATGTTTACCTCCTTTGATACATGCATCATAAATCATATTGGAGGAATATGAGTCTTATTGGAGACACAAGATTTTAAACTTGCCTTTTATAACCACAAACATCTTGTGTTGTTGTTGGCGGCGCGGAGATAAGGATGTTTGTTACCATTCAAATTACCGACAGGCTCAACTGAAGCCAGACTTGAGATTCAATAAAGATGTTTTAATGTAAAACTGCTATGGAAACCCTGATTGCTTCAGCATAGACAGAATTTAGAGATACAGAGGAGCAGCAGGCTCAGTTGGTAAATTCCTTGTTGATCCCATGGTATCAATCTTTTACCACTCACGTGGAAGCAGTTCAAGACCTTGTTTCCAAGCTTCTTGTCTGCTGGATGATGATTTGTTTAGGGCCTGTGGTTGAAATACCTCACTTAAATGGGGAAATAAGTGATATTCGCAGTACTAATGATGACAGATAAATAATGTCAGTAATCATACAGAAAGTAAATGGTGGTTTTACTGTCAGAGCCTATCTGCTAATAGGAAGTGGTATTTATTTTTCTTAACAGTAATATTTGATACTGTGATAAATGTTAAAAGATATCTGCTAAGAGCTGTTGCGCAGTTGCAATAGCTCTTCAAGCTCAACCTGAAAGTAGCACAGTTAACACTGAGCAGATTGGCATCTGCCATGTCAAAGGCTACTCATTGCAGAGCTGGACTCTGCGTTTCCCCTTTTTGCAGCTCTTCAAGCAAAATCTGTTTTGGTTTACTCTGGCAGTCAGGCTTGATGTCATGCTTCAGGTATGGGACAATGGCAAAGATCAAAGAGAAGAGGGTCGTTTTCCCTCCCTTCAGCGCGAGGAACATCCCCTGCTCATAATCAGTTCAGTGCATTATGACTGAAACTCAAAGCGTGCATGACCTCAGCGCGTTGGCCTCTCGGTAAGCTTGAGACATTCTGCAGTCTCACATTGTGAGGGCTCCTTCCCACGTAGCCGGTGGCTGCATGTCCTGCATCATTACGGTTTGGGAAATAACAGGTTGTGTTATTGCTGTGACATTCAGAAGATAAGATAAGAGCAGGGAACTGGGACTCACACAGTCTGTGTGCGCTTTTATAGCTCAAACACCAATATTTAAGTGGCTCTGCTCTCCAGAACTATGGCCTGGCATTTTACCACCTGTAATGATTAACTAATGAACAACTAGCAAAGTGTCTTACTTGCCTCTCAATGTCAATCCCATAAAACTCAAACAGTCCTCTTTGTTTTATGTGAAACACTTGATCTCTTGATAAGACTTGCACATAGAGATGAGGTTTAATCTCCTATAATTTCAAAGATTGGTTGTAGAAAATCATAGAATAACTGTCTCTGCAGTAGTTGTTGCATTGTCAAATAGAAGACTCTCATGAATAGACCCGGAGCAGCTTGCAGAAACGCAGCTTTAAGGTTTTATAATTAGTTCATCGCTTCTGTGATTATTTACCAAGATTAATCTTTCACACTCTCCGCTCCCTCCTGTTCTTGCAGTCTAGGAGGTCAAAAGTCAGAAAGCAGCTAGTAACAGATAAAAAGTAGTTTATGTTGTAGCTGATACTGATTCTAACATTAAGAGTCAATTTTAAAATGACGTACTCCCTAGAAAACCCACAGTGGTTTTTTAAGATATTGCTCTTGGGAGACGAAACTCAATAAACCCACGTAGAAACACACGTTTATATGACCTCCAATTCCCAAAGTTGTAACTGTGGGCTATATCTTTCAAAAGACACTTTGCTGTTAAATGTTCCTTTTGTTCTTTCTCAGTTTGTACATGAAAGAAGAACAATGTTTTTGAGCCCAAACACTTTTTTTTGCCAGACCAGAGCGATCAAACAGATTCAGGTGTGTCATTTAAGAAACTCTCTTAGTCCCACCCATGGGTGTGGCCACAACCAATGGTTAATTCACACATGCAAGCCTGACTCATCGTAATAATAAAGAATTACTCATAGTCCATTAAAACACCATTTAAGATTAGACATTGTATGCATGGAAAATCATTTAAAACAGTTAAAGTCGTAGCGGATGCCTCAGTATTGAATCAGTGGTAAACAGACTGGCTTGCCTAGTATTAGCTAGCGGTTTTACCAGCCTAAAATACTGTTGTACCATCAAACTGAGTAGCGTTAAAAAACTGGGCTTTAAA